GGCAAGTTCATTTCTCTCTTTTTTTTAAAAAAAGCTCTTGTGTGTTTAGTATTTATTAAGTGTTTAGTGTGATGCAGAGCAGCATTTGATGAGATGCACTGTGTTCTTAAACTGCCTGAGACAATGGTGGCGACCACTTCCTCTTTTGTCACCATCAAGTATCTCACAGTGTAATTTGGACAGTTTACAACCATGAAATACACAGTCAATCCACTTTCCAGTATAGGCTGTGAAGCGCTTTGAGACGTCACGATGACACGATAAGGCAAAGGTTATCATAAATCAGCAAAATGAAAAACAACCCGAAACTCCTTTTGGATTTCAATCCAAGATTGTGGCTGTGGCACCTTCTCAAACAGGATTTTTTTTCCGATAACATAGGAACATTTGTGCACATTTTGAAACTTTGAAAAGTTTTTTTTATTGCTGACAAGTATAGTCATTTTTATGAATTATTGGTGAAATCTCCCCTATTCTAAGTCAGTGAGGAATACTTATTTCGCCCCCTCTGCCTCGTGTAACAAAATGCACCAAACTTGCTCCTTGGAAGTTACTTAAAGTGACTTGCTCCTACGTGGAGTTACTTTAAGATGTTCTCTGTCTTTTGCTATTAACCGATAAATAGAAACAATTTGTGCTTAAGCCATTAAGTGTGGGATAGATGTATAACATACAGTTCAGCGCAGTGCAGAATTCCAGTGGACAAACTAGATCGTGAAGTCCAAAGTGTGTGCTGTTGAAATAAGGTAATGTGTCCTTTTTCTCACTTTTAAGATTAGGTATTTGCCTAATGCTGTAGTCTGTCTGAGTTGTACGAGATGAATCATTCTTGAGTAATGCTTTAGGCTGCAGGACAAAAAGGGGAAGGTGAGTTATTGTCTGCTTTCAGCTATTTTTAACTCCCCAATTCCTTTACTTAAAGGCTGTAGTTCATAATGATGGATGGTTCCTACTGGAAAGTGTGGACATGTGCCGAGGACAGGTTTGATCATGGCTGTGGTAACACCGTGCTCCCATGGCTGGGCAATTTGCTGATACAGTGCTTAAAGAATGACCAATACAGTTACAATTCAGTATGCCTTCAGTGAATAAAATGACAGGGAAATTTCCAGTATGTTCTGCTCGGTGTGATTTTATACCACACAGGAGAAATTATTCATTAAGTCACTGGTCTAAAGATTCTATCCAATAGCAACCTGTTTGGCGTCCTCAGTTAATGCTGTTTTGACATTAGTTGTGAATGATGTAGTCAACCCCAATTCACTTTTTGTGTATGTAACCATTATATTAACATTTTGTGCAGTAAATGCTTTAAGAATCTTTCAAAATAAGATCCTTATTTCTCTTCCCTAGGTTCATACTTTAATTGGTGCACTGGAAAAATCTTTTCTCTTATCCTCTTATTGTCCTCTTAGCATCTTGTTTGACCCTCAACTATCCTTTCTGCTTGTCTGTCTATCCCAGAGAGGATCAATGATCAATGGAAATTGCTGAAATATCAGAGGTGCCAACCTTTGGATGAGACATTAAACTGAGGACATATTGCAACCAATTGCGTACAGCGGTATCCCACAAACAGTGGTGGATTAAGTGACCAAATTATTATTACTATTTATTTCATTTTTTTGAAGGGATTATTACCGCCAGAAAAGTGATCTGCCAATCGACTAAAAACCGGGTTCCTACTTATTGCTAGGTGAAAAGAGGTGTGTGGAGTAAGGAAACTTGCCCAACATTTCGCCTTGCCAGGAATCAAACCGAGTTCCTCTCGCTTGTGAGGCAAGTGCTCTAATCACTAAGATACAGGATTCCACAAATATCGTAGCTGCAATGTACAGAAGACTGTGAAGCGTTTTCAATGTTTTGAGGTGCTGTATCGAATGAAGTGCTATATCAAATGCAAGGAGTACAAGGACGCTATTACTAGTTGCCTGCAGCTGCAGTTAATCCATGTACAATGATGACACAATTGTTGCATTGATGAATGTTTCATTATTTGTGCATTCATTTGATGCTTTGATGTGGATGAATTCTGGGTTTATACCTTGGGTATGTTCTAGATGGGTGGGGACATATTTGCAGATGCTAAAGACTCACAATAGGCAGCATTATACAATATAAAGGAGTTTGTTTTAGAATCACCAAGTTTGATCATAATCCAAGGCTCCAGGTGAGCTCTGTATGTAAAAGGGACTATATATAAATGCTAGCAAAACTCCTTTTCTAAATAACTTAATTTGTACTACTTTTAAAGTTTTGGTAGCTTTCAGTTTTTCTCCTGCTTTATGCCCAGTGCCTCATATACCATTATCCACTTGGTTTTTCAGTTTTGTCGAGCAGTCATATATAAAATGTATTTTTTCAAAATAGCAAGTGCTGGAAATATTAAATTGCAGCTTAAAATGCTAAAATTCGGGGCCTGAATCACTGCCTGAAAGAGACAACGAAACTAACCTTAAAAGAACATGAGGAATAGGAAGTGGTAGAGAACAGCTTTGAAAGACAAGTAGATAGATGTATGATTAGGTGAAGAGTGGGGAGGGAGAATCAGATATTTGAAGAATTGGTCTGTTCAGATGGACTGCAATGGCCCTGTCCAGTCTTTAACAACAACACCATCCCTATGTTCATCAGAACTAAACTGCTTTGGTAAGGCTGAAAGTTTAGACTACTTCTGCCAATCAATGGCAATGTCTCTGGTGTCTGTGTACTCTTTCTGGCATGAGTTCCAGAAGCACAGTTAGACTATATTTCTCCCCAAGAAGATGCAAGAAGCCAACTTTTTTTTATTCCCTCCCCCTCAAATTTTCTGCAGCTTTCCTCAAGGTGCTGATTCAAGCAGGATGTTGGCGCTCTGATACCTCCTTGAGATGTCAGCTGCATGTGATCTAAGACACTGGCTATGTAAATGACATCTATAGGAGCACATTACCCCAATTGACTACTGAATAGTAATTTGGAGCAGGAATCTTCAATATATAGAGTCCTGTAGCATATTGGTTAGAGTGCTCACCTTGCAAGCAAGGGGATTTGAGTTTGATTCCTGGGCAGGGCGAAATTTTAGGCAAGTTTCCTTTCTCCACAGTGGGCTGCTGCATTTCGCCCATAAAATATACAGTGAATTCACTTTACAGTATATTCTGTGAAGTGCTTTGAGTCATTTCAATGATGTCATAAGGCCCTATATCAAATGCAAGAATTATTATTGTTAGATTTTTTTCTTGCCATCTCTAACCTAGAAATGCCAAGGCTAATTGTGACACTCCTTCAGAGTTGTCATTGTTGATGGCTGAGTCTTGATTGTAAGTGAGGAGTTCAGCACAGGGGTTGAAATAGGCAGTTTTTCCATTTGCTTTTCTCTTTTCCTATGGGAGAATGTCCTACTTATGTTTAGAAATGAGGAACTAAGTAAGAGTACATCAAAAATGAATGCCATTTTCTTTCTGACTGCTGTGTGGATGCATTTGAATGATATTTAGTCTCCAGGTACAAAATGGTATCAGTCATGGTATTTAAAATTAATGTTTATTATTATTAGCCATAGATATTCTTTCCATGTAATTTCACTCTATAGCCATATTACTGCCAAGGAGTTGTTGAAGCAATCTGAGTCTTTGGGGTATTCAAAAAATATACATTTGAAAAACAGGACATTTCCCCTCCCGCTCTTTGTCTGTCTTTGGTCCATTTGAGTCAGGATGAAAATGCAACTACTGGCCTCTGAGTCTGGTCAGGGAGGGGATAGCCTTTGGCACTGTACCCATGCACTGTTGCTTTCAGGAGAGGAAGGATATGGTGAGGATATATTGGAGAAGAGACATAAGATTTTTTTTGTCTTTGAGACGTTTGTTCTTTCCCTCTCCCCACTCCCCTACAACGTTTCGTTTTCTGAACATGCTGGTATTTCAGTAGGGAAATTACAGAAGCAAAATGTAGCTGATCATCGAAGTAAACATCAGTAGCAGCATGTCCAGTGCTAAAAAGATCGAGAAAAGCTGATTCTCACTGCGGCTACTATACAACATAAGCAGCTAAATGGGTTGCTTGGTTTTAAATGCCACAGTTGTTCCCCATGAGCTGACCATGGAGGAATTCTGCCCCAGTTTTGTTTTTGTTTTTCTTTCTCTTCCCCCTCCCGCCCTCCATAACAATATTGAAGGATGGTTGGATTAGTGCCTTGCTGTATGCACTAGGCCTTTACAAAGACTTCGTTTCACTTCAGACTTTTTGGAATGTCTGTAATTCTACTTTTCAAGGCATCTATTGCCCTATTTCATTCAGGAGAATAGGACAGTGCAAAGCTTATTACTGTCATAATGTGGTCTTTGTCTTCTTTCCCTCAATTTGTTTACGTTGTTATTGTTATTTGCCTATTATATAGAATCTTCAACCACAATGTTTTACTTTCTGGAAAGTTAGTTATTAAGGTGGGAATTTAATTTTCACTCTTGTGGGATTTTCATATTCCGATATAAGTATTGCAGGTTTCATGTCTAGTTTTCATTTTCAATCTGTTTCACCTTCGGAAAACCTGCGGAGGTAGAGGCTGGCTGTGCGTGGTTGGGGGACTGTGGGTTTGGAGGCTGTGGGAGGAAACTCCCCAGAGGAGATGAGATCATTGAATGTCTCGGTGATGATGGCTTGGTGTTCAGTGGGGTCATGGTCCAGTGGGAGGAGGAGTTTCATTCATCATTCAACCCAGGATAAAACATTGTGCAGTTGGTGTTAGTTTGCTTTTAGACCGTAGCTTTTTGTTGACATACAATTTATAAAAAGAAAGTGGGAATTAATTTGATCAAGAAACTTTTTCAGTGCAGATACTTCTGAAATGAAAAACGGGCAACTGATTTTTAATGACCAATACATTAGATTGCTTAAAATGAAAATATTATTTTTCCTCATCAAATGTGGCATAATATGGTAAACTACTTAATTTTATTTCAATGCATTTTTGAAGTCTTGTAAAATGCAATTTTTTTTTTCCTTAATCTGTTTTTCAGGGCTCGTCAAAGTTTTCAGAGCTCTATACACATTTGAACCCAGAACAGTAAGTATCTGTATAATAAACAATCGCTGATTTGTGTTGCCCGTGGTGAGGTTCAGTGTAGAGACTTAAACAGATAGTTTGTTGTGGGTTGCCTTGTATTTAAGCTAAGTGTCACCAATGAGTCCATGAGCGCTTAAGGGCATCGCAATTTCTGTACTGCTGAGTCCGGAGGGGTTATTCTCTGGAGGGATCGAGATCTGGTTTTAAATGGTGGAGATGTGCTGACAGAGCTGGGTATTTTAAAAGCTGTTTTTCCTGTTGGCTGAAGAATGTTATTAGTGGTCATGTTTGTGACAAATGCGAAACCCAAACCTAATCTCGAGGGTTTGACCTGGTTTCATTATTATGAGGGAAATTTGTACACTTTAGACAGTTAATTATTTTCAGTAGACTGTTTTCAGAAGTTTCAGAAAAGAAAATAACTGATTAAATTGCATAGTCTATGATACCCACCATTTGTTTTCTTTTAGTAATTTTGTGTCGCATTTGTGTTTTATATAGCCAGATGAATTGTATTTTGAAGAGGGAGACATCCTTTACATTTCAGACATGGTAAGACCCCCGTACATTTACATATGCCTCAACATATGGAATTCAAGATGAATTTATTGGTTGCTTACCATCGTCAATATTTTTCTCTCAGACTGATTCCAACTGGTGGAAAGGAACCAGCAAAGGCAGAACAGGATTAATTCCCAGCAACTATGGTAAGTTTGTGGAGTGGTAGCCAGATTTTTTTAAAGCATTTTGATTCTCTGAAGAACTGGTTTAAGTCTATATTTCCCCCCGCTCCAGCAATTAGAAAGCTATTTCTAAAGATTGACTGAAATTTATCAGCAACCCCTGCAGTTGAGCATTGTGTGATGGTGAAAGGAGAAACACAAATTATAGATATATTAAATAAAACCAGAAATTGCTGAAAATCCACAGTGGGTCAAGACAGCACTTAAAAGAAAACATATGACTCTTCATCCTAATTTCCCCCTTCAGATTTACATGCTGTCAATTTCAAATATTTCCTGTTTTTATCTCCAGATCAGCAAAGCTGTACCTAGCATAATTAAAATTAATGTTGCATCTGCTTGGAGGCTAAAATGATGCATTGAAAGATGGCTGTTCAAATTTCCCAAATGTATAAGGACTCAGGGACTATTATTGAAATTTGAGTTCTGCAGAATTTGTAGAGCGTTTATTTTCCTTCACATCGCAATTGTTTCTTAATTTCTTCTCTGCAGTTGCTGAGCGTGCAGAGTCGATTGATAATCCACTGCATGAAGCTGCCAAGCGAGGTAAGTAAGGTAGGAGAACTGATGGATTTCCACTTGTGGCTCCAGTGAAATGTGGAGTAGGCTACTACGTGTGGTTCAAAAAAGATGCTGTGTGAATAAATCTGTTTTGATCAGACTTGCTTGTTACTTGTTGTAACCTGATTGAACTGAGATGGATGTTCCGTGTGTAATTGTGCTGTTTTGCAGTAAGAATATCTCAATGATAGCTGCGCTAAAGAGCAGTCATTTTCCCTTGAACACTTTTTTAGTCTTGCTCCATGCATATGTTATTTCCAGACAATAATCAGGTCATGCAACAGTACAACCCTGTTATAATTGGGTGTATTGTATTACAGCAGCTGGTCAGCATTTCCGGGGCTGTCAGGTTAGTCGCTGACATTGAGCCCTGCTGCGCCTGCATATAGTACACAAGAAGAATGAGAACCAGTAGCAGCATGTATCTCAAGATCCTTTCTGATGGTCGCAAGGGATGTTACATCCAGAAGTCTTTTTGATGCACAGGAAGGCAGCATCACAACACTGGAAGCAGGAAGTGTACACTTCACAAATTGATGTGTATCCAAATTGTTTCCGAAACCAAGATGTGATGGACTGTGTATTTTTAGACTTCTTTGCCAGCACTGATGGGTTGAATTGTTACTTGAGGTAACCAAGATTTAATACAACTGGCAAGGAAAGCTTCATGCCTCGTTATTCTCTGTCACATCAGGAGTTGAGTTTTGTTACGATTTTACAAAAAAATCACATTTTATTTTTTCTGCTCATGTTGCCACTTTGTTGTTTCAGGGAATGAAAGTTGGCTGGCTGAATGTTTGGATAATCGAGTTGGAGTAAATGGTCTTGACAAAGCTGGGAATACAGCGCTCTACTGGGCATGCCATGGGGGACACATAGGTAAGACTTTCAATAGCAAGATGCCATTAACATTATATAGGTAGTTTGCTGTATTATATTTTTCTGTAAAATGTACTTAATATTTCTGAATATATTTACACGTTCATTATACTTCACAGTAAAATCCTGTGAAAGAATTTAGAGACTTTTCAACGATCTGATAAAGCGCTATATCAAATAATAATAATAATCCTTGCATTTGATATAGCGCCTTAACATGTCTCAAGGCACTTCACAGAATATACTATAAAGTAAATTGACTGTATATTTTGTTAATGAAACCAGCAGCCAATTGCGCAAGTAGTTTTGGATTGAGTGACCAGATTTGTTTTTCGAGGGATTATTACCCTTCGCTAATCGACTAACAACCAGGTTCCTATTTACTGCTAGGTAAACAGAGGCATGTGGAGTAAGGAAGCTTGTCCATCTTATCGTCCTGCCCGGGAATTGAACCCAGGTCTAGAGTGCTTTAACCAATGTAGGACTCAAATGCAAGGATGATTAGAAATCAGCTTATCTATTTAGCTGTCACCTGCTCCGTGACTTTGATTTTCACTTCACGGTGATCTTTTCATGCCTGTGACAGGATACAAATTATACCCTACTTTTTGAAAAGAGTGCCACAATTAGGTTGAACTGCTTTGTCTCGGTATAATATTGATTGAATTGTTACTTCATTATCTAATCATTTTAGATGGGTATGCCTGGGCTTAGCCATGTATTGTAAAATGCCTACAGTGCCCTTAGCAGTGCTTGGGTGATTTTGTTTCTGGCACATGCAATGCCAGCTGTAGCTAGGGTGAAGCACTGCGCTGCTGTAGTGTTAACACTTGATGCTTGAATAAAAAGGGAGTAAGGGAAGCTAACCAGTTAAATGACTAAGAAAGGCTTCTGACCTCATTCTTCTCCAATAGTCAGATCAAACTTTGAATGAATAATCCTTCATTTTGTAAATGCTTGTCTACAAAAATGAATTTTCAGTGGATCTTGTGATCCATTTTGAGACGTCCTCCCAATATGATAGATGTTGTATCAATTTTAGGGTTGTTACAATTGCACACCTATTTTCAAAATGTTATGTTATGTCATTCTTTATATACATTAAAATTATGGTTGTTGCTTTTCAATTTTTAGTCTTTAAAATTTTCAACCAGTAATATCAACGCATTTTTTTAAAACCTTTTTTCTGATTTGTTTATTCCTCAAATATGGCTGACTTTTGGCTTGTAAGGTTGCAATGGATGCTGTCACCATTGCATTGCAGGAAATGACATCTATGACTTTACAACCTGGTCAAATTGAACTTTGCTTCTACATGATTTCATGAAAGCTGATGGAAAGTACATTGGGCAGCATAAGAACTTTCAAAGGGACATTGCTAATCTCACTAAGGAGTCAGTTAAATGAAGAGCACTTTAATAACATTAAAAACTAGCACTGGAGTTAATGCAGTTTTGCTTCCGTCTGTGTAAATATATGTTAAAAGGCAGTCAGTCTCCCACGGGTTTATTCTTGAAGGGAAGACTAAATCTAGGGGAGATTTTCAGCAGTGTTTATTTTTCAGAACACGTTAAGCACCTCTTCTAATGTATGGAAGCTCAACTGAAGACTTGAAAAAATTGCTTTGAATAGCAGTCGTTAATTAATTTAGTTACAGTTAATTTAGTTGGAAGTACTTCATTGACATTTTTGAATCAGTAAGCTTAGTTGTGTGCAGAAATAAAGTACTTAACTGCCGTGCTGATAGAATCTGTGCTGTAAAATGTATGCATGTCATGAGGGATGGAACAGACGAAGTGCTCTACTGGGCTGGATGGAGTTTTATAATGGATCAGAATGACACAGAATCAAGAGCTTTGTACTAGTACACACATTATATCCTGTACAATCGGACCTGGCAGATAATTTTAAATCTAGTAAAAGGCAAATGTCTCAGTATATTGACTTTAGACCAATGGTGCGGAAATAAATTTTCTTGATAGAATATTTCCTGATTTGTGCCATAAATCAAGAAATATTCAAGAAAAAAAAACTGAAAATAGATTACCGATCGAACATGGATTCACTTAGACGCGTGAGAATGTTCAGGGAGCTGCTTCTATCAACCCCGTGGGCCACTTCTGACCTGTAGGCTACAGGTTGACCACAACTGGTTTAGCGATTTAAGTCTAAACCATAAGTAATTAATAATAATCCTTACATTTGGTATAGCATGTCTCACATAGGCAGGGTGTCTCAAAGTGCTTCACAGAGTAGACTGAAAACAAAGTGACTGTGTTTTGTGAACGACGCCAATTTGTACACTGCAATACCCCACAAATAGCCAAGAATGGAATGACCAATTTTATTTGGGGATTGTTGGCCAGGACACCAGGAGAAACTCCTCTTTTCAAAAAGAGAAACGGGATCCTTAATGTGCACTTGAATTGGCAGGCGGGACCTCAATTTTAATACTGATCTGAAGGATGATATCTCTTACAATGCAGCACACCCTCTGGACTGCATTGGAATATCAGCCAAGTCTATGTGGGTTCTAAATCCCGACGTGGGGCTTGAACCCACAACTTTCCAACTCCCCAGATGCTGAGTGGTAGCAAAATTGCCACTGAATGAGTTAGGCTGACAACCATTCCCGTTGATCTCTGTTTAGTAAAAGCATGGTGGGGTCAACTAATTTCTCACTCTGTGTTTCTTAGTCTTGAAATTAAACGACAGCCATTGAACTTGCCTCAACTCACATGGAGACTATCCTATCATTCCATTTCCTGAGGGGGAAAAGTTCTGTATCAAGATTAAGATGTTCTCCCGATGTGGAAGGCGCTATACAAATGTAATTTTGTTGTTGATGCCCTAAGCTAATCGCAAAGATTCCGGAAAATTTATCAATCCTATATCTCCACTCTCTCTGGTCTGCTTTCTCTTCCTTTTACCTCCATATTCCACTTTCCGATTGCCCAGAAAGTGCACCATTGGCGGGCGAGTCTTCAGTCTTTCTGCCCCCACTCTGCCCCTATCCTCTGGAGCTCCATCCCACAGTCTCTCTGCCCTGCCCCCTCCCTTGCCTCCTTCAAGACCCATCTCAAGACCCTCCTTCGATTGTGCCTTTGGTCACCCTCCTATGCCTACCCTTCTTGCCCTCCATCCCTCCTGATCCCAACCACCAACTCAGGTGTGGATCCCTGGCAGTCCAGCACCTTGAGACATCCTCCAGACGTGAAAGGCTCTATGCAAATGTAATTTGTTGTTAGACCTTGTCCTAGCATCACTAATTTGATAGTGTGCCGTGCAGCATTTGTTTTCTTCAGTCTAGCCGTCAATATGGTTCTCAAGCAGTTATCGCAGTTTTTGCTTTGAAGGAGTTAGCTGACATGTTAGTGTGGAAAATCTTCTCATCTCAGAACTCTATTGGAGACTTGATTTTAAAACTATGTCCTGAGCTTATCAGAACCACGTTTGAGCAGCTTTATTTACCTTCATGTTATTCATTTTGCTGTGGTGATATACAGAGATTAGGGGAACTTACATTAGTGCAGGAAAGATATGACTTAACACCAATAGATAATTTTACACTCAAGTTTGCAGGTCCTAATCATGTAGGTTTACCTTTGGAGCACGTTTTATGTTCCATTGAGATCAGTATCAGCTGGTCCAAATGCACTGATCATTGAAGATAATAAGAATCCTTGTATTTGATATAGTGCCTTATCATTGTCATCGAGACATTTCAAGGTGTTTCACAGGATAAACTGTAAGGTGAATTAACTGTATTTTGTTGGCGAAACACAACAGCCAATTGTACACAGCAGTGTCCCACGAGCAGTCGTGGATTGAGTGACCAGATATTTTTTGAGGGATTCTTAAACTCCTCCAATGGACTAACAATCCTATTTACAGCTAGGTAAACAGAGACGTGTGGAGTAAAGAAACTTCCATGTCTGGGAATCAAACCCAGGACCCCTCGGTTGCGAGGCGAGCGCACTAACTGCTATGCTTGTTTTTATTTTAATGCTTACTAAGAAACTGCTTTGGATTGAGGGTAGTACAGCCCTTGAGTAAAATAAGCCTTTAAATGTCTTAAACAATAAATCTGGAAACGTGCTATCAATGTCAGGGTGTAAGGCTCCTTTTGGCTTAGAGTGCTCAATGCATGAGCCTGGCTAAACACTGAAGGAACATCGCCAAGCAGCAACATTCGAAATTAATATTTATTATTCTAATCAGATTTGATCTTATGATTTACTCAGTCGGGTTAATTCACTCGTCCAGAACACTACAAAATTCTAACTGCTTTCTATAGCTTTCAATACGTGAGGCAGATACCGCTTAACCTATAGTTTGTTTTTGGCCTATTTATACTGAAATAGATGTATGGCAGTTCATTGACTGTTATATAAATAATGTTGCATGAATAATAATGTTATTTATTTATATATAATATGAACTTTATGTAAATAATTTTATAACTTTTGATGTGTTTAACTTTTTGAATATTTTCAACTGATGAAATGTGTGCCAAAGAATGACTTTTTGTGAGAAGCCTACATATAGTCAAAGCAACATGCTTTGAGATGTAACATTAGGTCTTTCAGAGCACTTAATGTGTGCTGTAATGATGCATAAAAGCACTACTTTTAACTTTGATGCAGCAACATATAGTTCTGAGACCCAACTCTCTCCCGAATTTGAGAAGATATGTTTATGTGACTTATTGACAAAAATAGCAAACGTTTCTCTAGATTTGTAGCAATATTGTACATTTTGTTTTCTAGGGGCTCTTCACATTTTCTTCTGCTCGTTCACTGTTCTTTTGCTCTGTTTGTAGTTCCTGTTTAACTGGCATGCTGATAACTATCATGCTGCTTTTTTCATCCAAATACAGCTTTCACTTCTAGTTCTAAGGCTGCCAATATGCAATAAATTAGTTTTGCCTTAATTCACTCCATGTTGTGTGTGTGTGTGTAATTCTGGTCGTATTCCAGTAAATATTGCCAAAAATAATTACTAAGAAATTGTGTTACAATAGTATTTTTTTTTAAAAAACTCTATTGCGGTGTATTTTCATGTTCATTAATCAATGCTTGACTATCTTGTTTTTTTTCCCTCTTTGCAGAAATAGTGAAAATTTTGCTTTCCCAACCAAATATTGAGTTAAATCAACAGGTAAGACTTGGCATCAGACTAGTGGTCTCTGTTTCTGAAATGTAAGAAGCAAACAAATAAATTAAATGAACTATTGCTGCATATTTTCTGCAAGGAGCCTAGAAATGCCTAAAGAGGAGTAAACTATAAGGGTATGAGTAAAGCACAGATAAATAGGACTTAAAAGAGCCAGCACAGACACAATGGGCCAAATATCCACCTTTCTATGGTTCTCTGAAATCCTGAAATATCTTTTTGTTTCACTGGTAAATGCTCACAGGCAGCTCACAGCATCTTCCTGGGGTTCCATTTCTCAACTTAATAACATACAAAACAAAGTTAAAGAAAAGGGAACCAGGTCGACATGATGAAACCAGCCCTTCACTTACATAATTCATTGACGTTCAGTTATAATGCTGCACTATATTCTATTATATCTAGTTAGAGCTATTTTTAATTATGCATTTTAGTTTCCAAGATTGTCTGGTGAGGCTCTTGTTACATATTAAGGGTTAAGTTAGAGAACATTTGTGAACAAAATTGTTTGCTTTACTTCTGTATTGCAAATCCAGTTATTGCAGCACAGACCAAGCTACTGTTCTCTTCCCATTTCATGCCTCTACTTGCACTCATGCCTCTACTTGGACTCTATTCTGATGCTGGACATTTACTTCACGCTTTCTGTGACGTTGACATAAAAATGCATTATTTATTTTTAAGGTGGTTGTGCCTGTTGTGATCAGTTTACCCTTCTACCCTTTTTTCCTTTATTACCTGCAGAATTTTCTTTTTTCTTCTCCCCCCCCACCCCACCTCCACTGGCAAATTTTTAAATCTTAAAAAAACCCTGATTAAAAAATCTTTTCATTCACTTTAGTCCAACAGGGAAGGAATTACCATTATAGTTAAACTACACAATTTCCTTACCCTCTCTCCATTGCATCAATGTGAAAGCATGAAGAAATTCTATTTTTAACTTATAGTTTGAATTTGTAAGTGGAAATTTTTTAAACTGCAGAGCTAAATCATTTGAGGAGCAATGGAGTTGACACACTGATTAAAATTAAAGTAACTTGCAGTTATATAGCTTCCTTCACTCAGTGGTCAGGGTCAAAAAGGCATTAGATATGATGATCGAGGGGTTGTGCGGAGGAGGTGGTGAGTGGTGAATGGCACATTGGGATTATTTTTGGCCTCCAGAATGGCCTGGGAATAGAAAGCAGTTTTGGGATGGGTGATAGGTATGAAGATGTTTGAATCACATGTGCTGTGCTCGAGTGTTCAGGTTTGGGATTTAATAATAAATAATAATAATCCTTGCATTTGATATAGCACTTTTCACATCTTCTGGCCATCGCAAAGCGCTTCTCACAACTTACTGTAAAGTGAATTGACTGTATATTTGTGAGTGAAACGCAGCAGGCAATTGAGCACAGCAGTGTCCCACAAACAGTCATGGATTGAAGTGACCAATTTATTGCTGTTTTTTTTTTGAGGAATTATTAACCCGGAAAACCAAACGACTAACAACCGGGTTCCTACTTACTGCTAGGTATACAGAGATGTGTGGAGTAAAGAAACTTGCCCAACATTTTGCCCCACTGGGACTCAAACCCAGGTCTCTTGCTTGCGAGCAAGTGCTCTAACCGCTAAGCTACAGGACTCCACAATTCAAGGGAGCGTAGGATGCTGTTATACCGAGGGAGAGGGTGTCCTGGATTTTAGGGGGGCAGTGGAATTGAAAGTTGAGGAGAGATGATTGTTTAGAAGCTGGATAGCTGCATCAAGATTGAGTATAAGTATAATCAGCAAGTATAAAGCCAGAGCGGAGAAGGTCCGAGGATGAGAGGGCAATTGTAAGGGACTGGGGGAGAGCTTTTTCTAGGGGAAACAAAATAGTGGAGGGCAGGTGGATGCAAGAGGCGAGAATGATGAGGATGTGTTCAGAGATGGCTGGTCCATGGTGGACAGATCAGAGATGTTAAGCCCATGGGTAATGACCAGGTCCAGGGAGTGGCCAGTATTGTGGTTTGGGGAGTTTATGTGGAAGGTGAAGTTGAGGGAGGTGAGGGGGGCAGTGAAATCAGAGGAGATGGGTTAGTGGGAGTTAAGGTTAAGGTTTAAGTTGCCCATTATGTGTAGGCTTTCAGGACAGAAGCAGAGGGATGAGAAGAGATGTCTGAGAGGAAGGAGCTAGATGTATTCTTTGGGGTGGGGGAGCAGTAGACGAGGAGGATTTTGAAGGATAATACAGAGTGAAGAGCTCAGAGGGGAAGGAGCCAGAGGAATAGGAGGAATAGACTGAGAGAAGCTTGGGAAATGAAGTCCAGCCTGCTGCCGTATCAGTTGGGATGGGGGTGGAGGGGGGATGTATAACCATGCGGGGAGGGGGACAGGATCACCAGGGGACAGCCAGGTTTCCATGAGGCCGTGAATATTGATGTATTCATTCAGGATGAGATGGTGGATAGTAAGAGCTTTGTTAGAGGGGGAGCAGACATTTTGTAGGCAATGCAAATACGGACATTGGTGGGGAGGGGATTGCAGGATTTAGATTGTGGAAGAAAAGTGACTGGAGTCTGACCAGGGGAGAAAGTTGGAAAGGGTGTGAATGTGGATTACAAAGATGACAAAAATGTATAGCACGTAAACAGGCCATTCGACCCAACCAGTCCATGCCAGTGTGTACGTATTTACATGAGTCTTCACCCATTCCTTGGTCCTTCTCACACCCTACTATTCCCCTCTCCCTCAAGTGAAAGTCTAGCTTCTACCTGAATACATCAACACTATCTGATTCAACCTCTGCTTCAGACACGAGTTACACAATCTCACTACCTTGAACGTGAAGTTATTCCTCCCAAATCCTCTTTTAGATCCCCTAGACCCTCTCTTATACCTGTGTCCCCTAGTTATGGATGCCTCAACCAGTGAAAACAGCTTATTTATGTTAACCTTATCGAACCCCTTTACAATTTGAAATGCTTCTGTTGGATCCTCCCTTAAACTCTCTTCTAGCGAAAAAATACCTAACCTATCCAATCTATCCTGATAGCAGTAACTTATCATTCTTGTAAACCTAAGAGGTACTCTTTCCATTGTTGCTATATCCTTATAGTGTAGAGACCAGAATTGGACACAATATATCCTGTTTAAAGAGTGGAATTCAGGCCTAAATTTAATGTGTAACTGAGGCTGCCTTTAGTGACTTGACATTCATCTTCAAATAAAATGAAGGATGTGCTTTTCACAGGAAATGATTCATAGTGACCGCCAATACTTGAATACTTTCATGAAGAGAAATTGCTCTAACCAGCAGAATGAATCGTTGGTTGAGAAAGCTGATTTAAAATGAGTGATTTAAGGGCAATGGAACCATTGGAGTAATGCACTATGCGCGCACTCGCTACTAGCTAGCTATTTGCTTTTTATTTCTGAAACAAAGTCCAAATGTACAAAACCATATGCTTTCATAGATTCATAGAATGTTACAGCACAGAAGGAGGCCATTCGACCCATTGAGTCTGTGCCGGCTCTTTGACAGAGCAAGTCACTTTCACTAACCGCAATCACCAGCTTTCTCCCCATAACCCTGCAAACCTGTCTTCCCCAGATACCTATCCAGTTCTCTCTTAAAAGCTGTTATCGAATCGGACTTCACTGCCCTTTCAGGCAGAACATTCCAAATTCGAACAACTCGCTGAGTGAAAAAAATTCTTCTAACCTCCCCTCTGCTTCTTTTGGTAGATATCTTAAGACTGTGACCATGGGTCACAGACACACCTACCAGCGGAAACAGCTTTTCCTTATCTCACCTGTCGAAACCTTTCATGATCTTGAAGACCTCTGTCAGGTCCCCGCGTAACCTCTGCTCCAATGGGAAAAGTCCTAACTTTTCCAGCCTGTCCTCATAGCTAAGGTTCCCCATTCCTGGTATCATTCTCGTGAATCTCCTCTGCACCCTTTCCAGTGCCTTAATGTCCTTCCTGAAGTAAGGTGCCCAGAACTGGACGCAGTACTCCAGCTGAGGCCTAACCAGTGTTTTGTATAGATTAACCATAACCCCCTACTCTTATACTCTATGCCCCTACTAATAAAGCTCAGTACACCAAATGCCTTTTTTACTGCCTTATCTACCTGCCCCGCTACCTTTAATGATTCGCTTACTTGAACACCCAGATCTCTCTGTACGTTCACCCCCCTTAAGATTTCCCAACCTTTCAAATGACAGCAAAATTACTTGGCGCATTGGTGAGATATCATAATCCCACCAATCCAAGCAATGATGTGTTCAGGAGGGTAAAGAATGTACGTGATGGTGTTAATGTTGTTCCCTTCTGTTCACCAGAATAAACTGGGGGACACTGCCTTGCATGCTGCTGCGTGGAAAGGATATGCAGATATTGTAGAGCTGCTGCTTGCTAAAGGTAAGACTCATTGGAAAATCCTGCAGAATCTTCTGATGGTACTTTGCTTGTTTATCCTTGTCTCCTGCCCAAAATTAATCCTGATGTCCACACTTATTTTTCTCGCTCAGCTTCACTTGGAAGTGAATGGTGCTCTGTAAATTATATTGTGAGGAGCAGGCAAATTCTATATTTTGGGGGCATGCGGGATGCATTCGGCATCATCTCACACTTGACCAATGATATTCTAAGGGTAATTTGTTGCTGTGTAAATCGAGTGAATTTCATTCCAAGTTGTCAGTGGAAACTAGCTTGACTTGACAGGCAAGCTCATAATGTGAAAGTGGTACATGTTAATAAGTATGTAAAATCTGAGAGGAAGATGCTATCGGATTAAAGATGAATCCCTCTCAGATGTACAATAATTGATTGTGATGAAATGTTTGTAAATGGACAAAGCTGTCTGTTAATATATGAAATTTAAGGGAATTTGATATGGTTTGAGAGATGTAGGGGGCCAGAATTACTTTTGTCTCAATTTCAGCTACTGAAATTACATACTAGCTCAGAACCTAATTATAAACATAACTGGTGAAGAGAGTCCATCGTGTGGTATGGATTAATCCAATTTTATAGACTTGAATTGGAATATTCCTGTTGATTTTTTTTGCATTATGAATTGTATTCTGTTGTATGCGTTCTGATTTTTTTTCTCTAATGAAAGTAATATAACTGAAGTTTCTGATTGTGACTAGTCCGCCATCCCTTCTTTCTCTCCCCCCCACTCACACACACACACACCCTGGAATGCATTTTAAGTCTCAGTGCCCAGTTTATGACACACATAGCGCTTTCACACAATGTTGTATTGTTGTCTTACCCACTGTTTTCAACGGCCCCTCTCTGTGTTGCTATGGAAAATCAGGGTCCAGCAGATACTGAGTGCAGTGCTGAAGCAATGCCAAAGCTATTTTATTTTCTTCGAATGCGATTGCTGCTCCGGTAAATGAAGCATTAGCAAACGATTATGAGGAAACTTCTCTGTTTATTTCTGGAAGATAACATTAGAAATGTATGGCAGCAGCTAAAAGTTGTAATTAGGAGTACAGTACTTACTTAATTGTGAAAAAATCTTGCCTGACATTTAAATGTCATTGCCTATTCTGGATGGAATATCAGGAAATTATGTTTCTTAAAATGGATGAAAGCGGAAGGAAAAAAGGCAGCACATCAATGTGCTCTACAAACTGATCTCTTTCATATGCTTAATTTAGTCAATATATGCTCATTTGTGCACTTCTAACAAGGTAAGTGCTTTTTGATAATGGATTAAAGTGCTGTTCAGTAAAAGGTCATTGTGCTAATGATAGCTTGAAGTGGAGATATCTTGTTAATTGGAGTGTTGTATTGAACAGGCTAATTTTTCCTTTTAAGGTGCCATTTGAGTAGATGTTCTGTTTAGGCAAAAGTGAATCATGCTTAAATACAAGTCAACTCATGAAAATCGTATACGTAAATATGGAAAAAAAAACTTTGTACTAGTTCTAAATTACAAGTCGAATAAACAGTTACGTCATATTGGTTTCTTGGTCTCAAATAATCCCACATCCTACGCAAATCGGATCCTAACTCGAATTATTGCTACTGTATTACCAACTGCATTGATGAAGTATCGCATGCGCATTACTGCATTTGAAACACTAAAGTGAGGGAAACAAGGTCATAACCTGTTATCATGGTGCTCTATATTATAAAAGCCCAAAGATATCTTGAGGTACTCTACTTATTCTTTGCTTAAGAATGTCAAATGGATGTCTGTGTAATAGAAGGTCAACTTAAGAAAGCTTAAGAATGTCAAGTGGACATCTGTGGTAATTTTTTTAAGGCACTGGCTCTGAAAGCACAATTGTGGCAACGTAAAAGAGAAACTTAACTTTGCGAAAGTTTTATTAAGTTAACTGATATAACTTATGGGAGTTTGCCTGTAACTTGCACTTCGCATAAGTCGTATTAAATGTTATTATCCCGACTGATACAACTTGTGCGAGTTTAGCTATATTTCTTTGAACCAAAAAATGTAAATTTTAAAACAAATTTCCTTGTGTTAAGTAAGGTTTATTGATAAACACATTAGTGTAAATAAATGATGTGATTTACCCAAATAGATTTGTAGTCAGAAACATTTATTTTACCGAAATGCAGAGAGCATCGCAGAAAATTACCATTAACATTTTACATTTGCATTATAATGATGGGAAATAAAATGCAAAATGTTTTTTGACTGTATATTAAGTACTGTTTTCTGCTATCAAATCTGGCAATTGTAAAAATTTTCTTCTTGCCCTAGGTTGCAGAACAGACGTGCTAAACAATGAAAAAAAACTGGCCTTCGCTATGGCAACTAATGCACAATGTGCCTTTCTCCTTAAACAGAAATCCACGTCACGTAAGTACTAGAAGTTAGATGTACTGACTGCTTAAAACATCAACTTGGACTACTGGGAGTGTAGCAAGTCACTCTGGACACACATGAGGTGCCTCTGTCACACTCGAATTTTCATATTTGCAGTTCTTGTGTATAGATGAAAAGTTGACTCTGTTCCGAAATGTCATTGTCTTATTGTGATAATTCTGTCTTCAAATTGGACATCTGAACTCGCTCGCCTGGGATTTGTTGTGTAAATAGTTATCAATCCTCTTTAGTTTGCTTTAGTAGTTGTAGACCATATGTGTGATTGGATAGTTGTAGGATTTTTAATTTGCAAAGATTTAAATAATGCATTCCTGGGCACAAGTTCAGTTGCTGCAGCAGCAGGACTTTTTATTTAGCAAGGATTCTGGTAAGCTATTCCCTTTGTGTTGCAGAAATTATAGTGGTTGTATCTTGTTCCAACGTTGCTCTGATTCTGAACCTCTATTTCTTTCTGTTTTGTGTGTTGAGTGAAGAGGGGTAACAGGAGAGGAAAGGCAGGACAATGCTTACATCAAGGAGAAACTCACTGCACGCAGAACTAGTACATGTTGGTGTAGAAATCAACTTTCAGCAAGGCCTCAAGCTTATGAGTCACAATAGCATTCATGACTTAAGCACTGGATTTTTATAGTGCTTTAAAATGAAGAATAAATGTTGGGTAGATATGTTTCCTATATTAAATATTTACAGCTTTTAATTTGATTGGAAGGATGACTCATTGTGTCTCTAGACTAATGTAGGCAATGCAATGGTTATTGTCAGAGAAAGGTGCTGTCAGCAAATGTTTGTGAATTAACTGTTTGGGAGATCAGTAACTACCGTGTAATAGAAATGTTTTGTTAAGTTGAATTATACTTTATTTTTTGTATGCTTTGGAAAGGTTGGCGCTGTCAAGAAGCAGCTAGTCTGGAACTCTAGACTGCTGTATTCTGGAAGCAGCATTGTTCAGACTGTAATAATGATTGCATCCAGACAACACTGCAGTACAGAACCATTTCGCAGAATTGTTTTGTCCTGAACAGTGGTGCTTTATCACCGAAGTGCATCATAGGAGGACATTTGGTCTATCAAACTAAACTGGTACCAGCTGGTCCACTGGGCAAAATACTAAAATCCCAATTCCCTCCTCTCTCCCCCAGTCTTTTTCAATTGTTCTTCAAATGTTTTATCCATTTTTCTTTTAAGTGTTGGGTTAGAAGCAGATTATTTTGGAATTAAACTTTGACATGTATTGGCTTTTAATATTTTAAACTGCATTGGAAACGATTGTTTTGTGGATGCTTGAGGCAGGTTTAGCCTTGTTGGAGGTTTTGATCATTCTTTAATGCAGTATGTTTGATTCTATCATTTTTGTTTCTACTCTAATGCATTTTGTGACCTTGAACTTACCCAGGCTTGGCTGACTCAAGTACAGTGCTGGGGGAGTGCTTCATGTCAGAGGTGCTATCATTCAGATGGGATGTTAAACCAGGATCTTGGCTAGCCTTCTAAGTGGTTGTTAAAGATCCTACGGTACTATTTCAAAAGAGAATTGAATTTCTCTCAGTGATCCGGCTAATAATCTCCTAGTTAAAATTGTTCATTTCATGGCTGTTCATGCAATTGTGTGCAAATTGGCTACTGTGTTTGTCTACAAATTACACTGTAACTACACTTCACAGTAAATCCTATGAAGCACTTTGGGACGTCCTCATGATGGGAAAAGCATTATATCGTAAATAATAATCCTTGCATTTGATATAGCGCCTTATCATGTCTTCGAGGAGTCTCAAAGCACTTCACAGAATATACTGTAAAGTGAATTGACTGTATATTTTGTGGCCAATTGCGAACAGCAGTGTCCCACAAACAGTCGTGGATTGAAGTGACCAAATTTATTATTATTTATATCTATTATATCATTGTCAAATGTAAAGATTATTTGTTCTAGCACCTTGTCACGTCAGAATATCTCTGTGTTTCACACTACTAGCTAATTTGAAGCACAATAACTGTTGTGTTGGCCTAAGTGGCAGCCAATCTGCACCAGCAACATACCACTAAAAGCATTATAATGAATGAATGACCCAAATTTAGTCTGGTATTTTAGAAGATTTAAATGAGGGAGGGATATTGCCCAGGAGAAATCACGTATGCTCTTTGCACAAATGTAATCTTGGTGAAGCGGAGGGTTTTGAGATGAAGGAGGCAAGGGAGCGAGGTGAAGGGACTGTGGGATGGAGTTCCTTAGGGTGGGGGCAGAAGGGCTGAAGGCCCAACCGCGGATGGTGGGCAGGCGGAGGACATGGGGCAAACCAGAGCTGCAGAGTTCTGGAGTTCTCGTGCTTTCTCCCACGAGGAAATTAATGTAATTTTTAAATTTGTGGTCCTTTTAAATGTATTTTAACACTTGTGACAATCTCGTTCTATGAATCCATGTACCACATGGTGTTGTACATTAACAATGGGAAATTAATTTAAATGAATTTGATATAATTGAAGCACTCAACACCATCTTTTCGCCAGTGTTTAAGTACAGAGTACAGACCAGACTATCAGTTCTGATCATGTGTCTAGTGCTTTGTCTGTGAAAGTATTTTAAACCCCTGACCAATAAATCTCTTGTGTTCTCTGCATAACTCTTATCTACATTGTGGTTTATAGGAATAATTTTCAAACATAGTGGAAGTCACTGAGAAGTTGCAGAATCATTAGGCTTGTTCAAAGGTTTTTGTCGATTGAGAAACGGCACAGCATAGGAAAACACTTAAGTTGCACTATGAAGTAGTGTTTTTTTTCATTAGTCCCATATCTGCTTTGGGTATTGTTATTGTCCATGATGTTCCATAGCTTGTTCTATTCTTGGATCTGTTTTGGATATAAAGAGTTCATCACTTCACCATCAGTACTGGTTCAGGTTTAGCCTGTGTTAAACAGCAGAAGGAAGTTTTGACTATGTTCTCATTTCCTGTTGGCCATTTCATCGAGAGAAAGATATTGTATCAAGGTTACTTTTTTTTCTGCAACATGGGAGGGAAAATTGGGGTTGTTCTTCTTTTGGGAGCTTCTTGTGCAATGTTTCCCAGTGGACTTATACATTGCACTTACACTACATCTTTCAAACTTCTCAAAGTGCATCACAAAGACTATGGGGACGATCATGTGAGGAGAAAAGAAGGATGGGAAATTTGAGGTTATTGACTAAAAGCATGGTGAAAGAGATTAATGCTCGCAGAGGATTGAGGACTGATACCATGAGCATCCTCTCACCTGGAAAAGAGTACATGTCACAGTGCAAAGAAGAAAATAAATATTTTATTAAAGAAGTGGGGTAGAGGGGTGGAATTGAAATTTGTTTGAGAAACATTTTGCCTCTGTCTCATCAAAAACAAACTAAATTATTAATGTATTTTTGGCTGCGGTGCAAAAATGTTATTTCAATTTTCCAGTGAAAATTCTGAGGACCAGAATAGCTCCAAAGTGGAAAAGCACAAAGCTGTTTCATTCATTTTTGAAAAAAACTGACTTTAAAAACTGTCAGTTCTTTTTCAATCATAAAATATTTACATCTGTCATGTTTAGCATCTGTACTTTTTTTAAAAAGCCATCATGTCTTTGTTTGGTAGTTTCCTTTTGTCACACACCTCATGTCGTTTTCCTTCAGGCACCAGAATCTGGCAATATGTAAGGCTCGTAAAAATTGGCTTTTACGTTTTCTGACTTTCGTTGGATTTTTTTTAACAATTTTTGCACATGGAGGACAAATCATTCGTAATACTTTATCCACATTTATTGCCTATATAAAACGTGCATGCTTCAGACATCTGTTGAACCCACTGCATGCTGTTTCTAGGGCTCTACTTGTGTTTTAATTAACATTTTTTTCTCAATTCTTGTCCTTTGGACATCATATGAAAACAATTTTTAACCAATGAAAATGTATTTGTGTCGGATTGTGAAACATTACGTAAAAAAAATTGATGTTTACCAATTTCTTCCCCCCAAATCCAGGCAGGTTGTATACTTAACGAATATGAAAGGCCTTCTTTGCTCTAGGCGTACATTAACAGAAATCAATTTGAGTTAATTTCTCAGTGCACCTGATCTTTCACACAGTGCTGTGCCTTGCATTTCAAACCATTTGGATTTCTAATTTATTTTGTGCGGGATTGATTTTATAGACTCAATAAATTGATGGTGTAATTAATCATTCCAAATGAAAACAACCATTTTGACCACATTGCATAATTTGTAAAACTCCTGTGTATTTTACAGCACTCTCAAATTTTGGTATCGTTAAAGTTTGCAATGGTATTTTCATAGTCCGCTTTATTGTGAGTAAAGGAAATTTTCTTCTTTTAAAAGGCTCTGTAAAATTAGCATGGCAGGCATGTTGTACTTTTTTAAAGTAAAAAGTAATGCACTTTTCTGTCAGTATTTGTCTGGAAAAACAATTGCAGTTTCAGATTTTGATCAGTATATGTCTGTCCCCATCCTCTGAAACTCGAGACCTTCCTCTTTGACTGCTCTCCTTTCGGCTGTTTTTTTTACCCCTTGGCCCACTCCCAGCTTAGTGCAGTTTTGATAAATTCTGGCCAAACTATGGCCCGCAGACCAGTTCCCGCAGTGCCTGTAACCCGAGGTCACCGATTTAAAATAGTTGTTAAAAGAAACAGGTGAGGTGAGGAGAAATTGTTTCACAGAGCGAGTTGTTCGGATCTGGAATACGTTGCCTGAAAGTGTGGTAGAATCCGATTCGACAACAACTTTTGAGAGAGAAGTAGATGATTATTTGAGGACAACAAGTTTGCAGGGCTATGGGGAGGGAGTGGGGTTGATTTGGATGCTCTTTTCAAAGAGCTGGCACAGACACGATGGGCCGAATAGCCTCCTCCTGTGCTGTAAGATTCTATGCATATTTTTGAGCATAAAATCTAAGCCTAATTTCTGTTTAAAATTACTTCTAAGCTTTTAAGCATGGAGGAACAAGCCGAAATTCCCCAAAACATGATTTTGGCTATTGCAGTAAATTAAAAGACGACTGTGATAGGCAAAGTCGTGTTAAAGTGTGACATGCTTTGGATAGCACTGGGAGCCTGGTTTGAGCTTCAAAAGTGACTTTAAAGGATTTTGAGTCTAGACTCATGTCATTCATCAGAAATGCAACCACCTGAACTGCCTTAATTAAAAAAAAATAATAATTTGGTAACTCAATCCACGACTGTTTGTGGGACACTGCTGTACACAATTGACTGCTGCATTTCACCCACAAATATACAGTCAATTCACTTTATAGTATATTATGTGATGTACTCTGAGATGTCTAGAAGACGTGAAAGGCTCTGCATCAAATGCAAGGATTATTATTATTGTATCATCTTCTATGCTTGTAGTTCAGATTTACTGTTGATTTAACAAAATAAACTGTCGTTTTCATCATTCCTAGTGGATCCTATAATATTTCTATTTCATATAGTGCCTTATATTGTAGAAATCTAGGAGGAAGAGAAGGCCATTTAATTCATCGAGCCTGTTTTGCCATTTCTCCACCATATCCCACTTCTCAAGTCTCTGTTTACCTTTTAAACATCAAAATCTATTTATCTGTATCCTGAGGCACTGCATTCTAATTTTCAGATGATGTTTCCATGTTTTGCCTTCCTTTACCAGAGGGAAGTGTCCTTTTATGCTCCAACTTTTCAATTCACATAAGAATAAGAATAATCCTTGAATTTGATAAAGCACCTTATCACGTCCTTGAGACGTCTCAAAGCACTTCACAGAATATACTGTTAAGTGAATTGACTGTATATTGTGTCGGTGAAATGTGGCAGCCAATTGCGCACAGCAGTGTCCCACAAACAGTCATGGATTGAACGACCAAATTATTATTAATTAATTTATTTTTTTAAAGGGATTACCCCTTCTCTCCCCCCCCCCACTCGGAATAGGTTCCTACTTGCTGCCAGGTAAACACAGGCGTGTGGAGTAAGGAAACTTGCCTAACATTTCACCCTGCCGGGAACAAACCCAGGTCCTTTTATTAGTAAAACCAGAGGACACGGCCTGCAATTGAAGGGGGTAAATTCAGAACAGATCTACACAAACACTGTTTTAGTGAGCGTATAGTGAAGCTGTCGAACAGACTCCCGAGGGAGATAGTTGAAGCAGGAAGTTTTGTTCTTTCAAACACAGATTAGATAGTTTTCTTTTAGGAAATAATGTTATGGGACGTAGTACATACATAGGTAGCTCAGGACATATGTGTATGCAACTGCCAGGAAGGCGGAAGGCGAACTAGATGGACCTTGATCTTTTTTTGTCTAGCATTCTTTATGTTCTCTCGCTTGCGAGGTGAGGCCTCTAACCACTAGGACTCCACATGTACTATGAGCATCTGCATCTGTGAGCCTGCAATTTAAAATGATTCTTGTTTTCATTTCAGAAATCATAAGGACTGCAAGTAATGCAGAGGAATACCTTGACGATGAAGACTCAGACTAAGTTGTCTATCTTTTTGCAAAAAAATGTAATGACAACATTCCCCTGGATTTTTTTATCTCCATTTTGCTTGAAGTGTCCTTTAACTGTAAAAGAATATTTATGCATTTCACTAATGCATTGCAGGATTGTGATAGTCCAGAACCTTGGCATTTATTTGTTGTGTATCTGGTTTCTGTTTCACTGTTTATGGTGACCAAACATAAATAAAAATGTGTTGTTTGGCCTTGCAATCTTACAATTGAAAAATATGCTTTGTATTATATTAAGTTGATGCCAATTGGATCAGTTGAAAGCATACTTTCAACTTTTAAAACTGCCTATCATAAAATTGAAACCTGTCAAGCTGGGTAACTTGAATTTGTTTCTTTTTTAAACAAAAAATTATCTCCATTACTGGAAATAATCTGACTGGAGGACACTTCCAAGTGTAATATATGCAATCGGGCAATCACAATAAATTGCTTCTAATCTGACTACAGTGTTTAAGAATAATTTTATAAAAAATCTCTTTTCCACCAAAGCTGGTGTTTCAATATACAGTATTTGAGCAATCTGTTATGGGAGTCTGCATTTCACTCTTTCCGGGGTTTGTACAGTCATTGCCATGCAGTCTGAGCTCGGTCCTCGTTTAGCTAACGAGACAAACCAAAGTGAACATTTATTGTCCTCCAAGCCCAAACGACTTTGTCGTCTCAGTGGCAAGTCGCATAAACTTCTTGATTATTTATGTAACAGAACTTTTACAAAGTTATTATGAACTGAATCTTTCAGGCAACGGGATCCATCATGTTCCAGTATGATGCAAAATTTACGAATCACAACAACGTGACAATGAGATATACAAACCGTTTTTGTACTGCCTTAATTCTATCATGTTTGGGTGCCTTGTGGAAGTGTTACTACTCATGCAACCTACTGTAAAGAATTGAAGTCCTGAGAGAACTTTCTTACTGGATACAGACTAGGTGAGAATTTAGTATCAGAGGGTTTGGTCTTGAAGTTGCTTGAGTACTTGATCTGAGCTGAGAGGATTCTCAAATTAGTGGACAGTGAATTATTAGGGTTTATTTACCTTTGGATTGACTGGGATTTTACTGTACATTCTGACCAAACACCTTTATAGCAGAAACCAAAATACCTGATTAAAAATGAGGAAAAATTGTTTCTTTTAATTGACTGGGTCACATTGCCATTCTTAGTCCCATTAAGTAGTTATTTCACAACAAGTTTTTGTTCACAGTAAGGTAGTCAAGCAAATCCTCAAATATCTTGAACTGTGAAGTGCTCACATTTGCATATGTGGAGATCAGCAAGTAAACTGAGCTCATGGTAATAGTCTGAATTTTGAATGATGTGCCTGTCTGGCCTTTCTCTTGCTGGCCATGCTAGACATCCACTGTAGCAGCACAAGTCACAAGCTTTGCTATTTCATGTTTTTTAAGAAGTTATTATTTTTAAAAATGTCCCCCTCCTCCACACCCTCTATTTGAAAATAGTTCATGTCGTCTTCCCCTCTCCTCACTCTGGCCATTTTTCAATGAAGAGAGTAGGCCACATGATATGCTACCAAACCTCTGCTAGTTTCTCTCTAACTACTGCAGGTAAGCTCTCTCCAAATGCCCAGCAAAGATTTGAAGCATGCAATCTTCTTAGCTTCACTACGTGGGCTGAGAATTTAAAAAATATAGTGCATATCAACTTTGAGTTCCAATGATTAAATCATGCAATAAACATTTTTTTTACTTAAATTAACATGCCATTTAATCAAATCAGTGGAACTGCTAAGTTTGTATCATTTATCTAGATTAAGAACAACAGAAAAATTATCAATTCATGATCTTAACTGCTGCAAAAGTAGTTGAATTTGGGAAAATTGTTCATACTCTGAACTTTCACTTCTGCTTGACCAATGCATTTGATAATGCAACTCTGTAAATTATTGCTGCAGTGTAACTAATATTTTTGGAAAGATGAATAACTTCTAAAATATATATATATTTGCATACTAAATGTCCTTTGCAGCTTTTGAAATTACTTTTTCTGTCAAATTTCTGTCTGATTTTTTTCTGTGCATTTTGAATAATGAATACTAATTTAAGGAATGTATGGAACCCCAGAGCTGTTCTTCATACCCTTCTTGGAATAATAAACTTTTTTGTAAATCACGTGTGTTTTCTTGTCATATACAATACAAATAATCAATACAGTTTGAAGTATCTAAAAGGCACACGTAAAGGTCAGTAAATTCATCAAGAAATGATGTGGTTCATCTGATAACCCAGTTGAAAGTTGATTTTCAGTGGTAACAATCCACAGTACAAGGCCCTGCCATATGGTTAAGACTGTGAGGAAGATACAATTTCAGGGCGTTTGGGGTTAAAGCACATTAACATAGTTAATATTTCTGGGAACACTCAGCAGGTCAGGCACCATCTATGGAGAAAGGAAAGTGAGTCAACGTTTTGGGTCCACGACCCTTCGTTAGAACCGGGGCATGTTGGGGTGGGGGGGGAGAGAGGCTTTTAAGGACTAATAGAGAGGGGGGAGACGGGGCTCTCTTGTGTTTTGTTAACATAGTTCTGTATCACTGGAGCAGTACTGACCAAACCTATTTTAGTATAAACACTTCTGCTTGCCCTGTTGTCTCCTAATTTCTGCCTTTTTAATTTTAGTTGTAACTTTACTCTGTAGGACCATAGAAATTTACAGCACAGAAGAAGGCCATTTGACCCATCGTATCTTCCAGCTCCCTCAATCCACTTACCTGCCCTTTCTCCGTAGCTGACTTTGTTTAAGATATTCATCTAGTTCCCTCTTGAGGTCCAATATGGATTTTGTCTCAACTACCACTCCCAGCATTCCGTATCTTAACTATTCTAACCTCCCCATTAATTGCTAGCTATATCTTCAATTGATGCCCTCTAGTTACTGACTCACTGACCAGTTTAAATAATTTCTCCCTATTGACTCTAAATCAAAACTCAAGAAATTATGAAAACTCATAATTTGAGGGTCACCCATCAACCATCTTCCAGTAAAAAAAAAAGTCCCAGTTTCTCCCGTTTCCACTCGCAGGCCAAAACACTCACCCTGGGAATCATCCTAGTAAATGTGCACATCCTCTATTGCCCTGACATCTTTCCTAAATACTGGACATGGTATTTTAACTGGTCTAACTATCTACATTAAACAGGCCACCCATTGTGTCCACCTAGTGCTGGCTCTTTGAGTAATCCATTCAGTCCCATTTGTCTGCCTTTTTCTCATACCCCTGAACATTGCTCCTTTTGCATACTGACTTTTGTAAGCTCAAATATATTCTGCCTCACCCAATATGCAAGGATCAGTCAGTACATAGTATTAAACCAGGTATGCATACAACAGTAAACCAGTTACATACACGTCATGAAAGCTGTATACACAAGATTAAACCTAGCTGTGTGCACAGCAGTGAAGCAACTTATTCCATCAGCTGCAATGCCCATGATGCTGCCCTCCAGGATTGTGCATGTGTGTGTGTGGGGGGAGGGGGGAGAATAAAAGATGAATTTAATGAATATGGGATTATATCATGTTGAGTAATGGATGTCCATGGGATTTGTTTGCAAATGTAATTGCTTGCTACAACCGTGTAAGGCCTTGAGGTTCTATAAGAGACTGAGGCCAAAAGTAATTTGACTCCAACATTAACCATCATTAATCACACCATAGTGAGGATGAGCAAGAAATCCACTGACGAGAAGAACAAATTTTGTGCTACACATACATTTCTAGCTCAATTGATATATGACATTTTTTAGATTCAAACATTAAACTGGGTGTGTGTGGGCAGGGGGGAGAGAAGTTAGTGTAGGAAGGAAACTTAAGTTAAAAAAAAAACTTTTCCCTCCCCACCGCCACTTTTGTTTCTGAACAATTTTTTGACTAAACCGCAAGCCATTTGGGAGTTTATTTTTTCCAGAATGGTTGTATTTTAGTCCATGGTTGTCACACGTCTGAACAAAGCAGAATGTCAAACTGGATTTTCACATTTTCACTAACCTTCAAAGTGTTTGCACCTCAAATGCTTGCAGGCTCCTTTAGAACATGCAAAACCATGCAAGCTCCAAATGCCAGTGTCAGGAAGTCAAACAGATATTTTCAGAGAAATGTATTGCTCCACCAGGCAGAATTTTGACAATTTAGATACCTTCAGCTTTTCAATTGCACATTTTGAATCAATCATTCACTGCAAAATCCCATTGTATCGGCTGACACATTTGGCAGCCACGACTGGGTAAGTGATGTATCAGCTTGGCCCATTGGTAGCACTCTTGTATCTGGATTCAGGGGTTGTGGGTTCAAGCCCCATGTCACTACTTAAATTTGCAAAGTCTAAGCTGACACTCCAATGCAGTGCTAAGGGTGTGTTACTATGTCGGACCTGCAGTCCTTGAAACAGGCCTACTTCAGGTGGACGTTAAAAATCCCATGGTACTATTCGAAAAGAAAAAGGAATTTCTCCTGGTGCCCTGACCATCAATCCCAAAATAAAATTGATCATTATATAATTATTATATTATAACAATTATTATTTATTATATTAATACTAATATATTAATGGTATTATTTGAATGATTGTTTAAATATTGATTATTAATTGCAAATAATATTAATATTAAAATGAATAGTGATATGATTCCTTAATATATTTTTATTAATTTAAATTATTAATATAATGATAAATGAATAATTAAAATAAACTAGCACAGAGTTGTTTTGCTGCAAAAAAGCTAAAGCAAATACCTATTGTGATGCTATTTGAAAAATGAAGAATTATAATTAGATTATAATGACATTTACACATCTGTGGACACTTTTTGGTAGCTGATATTTTGACTGCTTTCTAAAGGATTTCCAAAGCATTCCTATCAACACATTCCATAAGCAGATTGTTTTATTTGAAATGAAAAATGTTCAAAGGCAGCAATGTTCTCAAGTGCAGATTCTTTCCTCTAAACCCTCCCCCACCCCCCTCCACAGTGGTTTCCTACATGTTAGGAAATGGCCGAGGCCTGCCTTGCTTTCTCTGAGTTTCATGGCAGAGAATGCTTACACAACACCAAGTTGTGTATGCACAAGAAAGGAAGTGAATTTTAATTGGCAGGAAGCAGATGTTCACCTGCTATAAATACAGTACTCATAAATGGGAGGCAGTTAGGATGAACTGGTCAGCACAAAGCCCGGGAGATACACAGAATGGCATTTCCACACATGCAATAAAGCTTGTCTCACATTTCAGAATTCGCTTGCACTCTCTGATTTTAGTGCAATGTTAAATCCAGCACAATATAATATTCAGATGTTGTGCACTAAAACCTTTAATAGACTGCAGTATGTCACCCAGGATAAGTTGCACGCACACTCCATATCAAAGTGTCATGGCTTTAAATTGTGAGATGTATAACTGACTGGGGGAAATGTCACGGCCCTTTCATATCCATAAAACAGATTGAAGGTTTAAATAATACAGAAATGTGTGTTATATAGGTGATTCCCATTCACTGTATAGCTCAATTTGCTACAGATGTGCAGTCATTTGCCAGAATGTTTCATTTAACAGGAATACCCAGCTAGCCTGAAATGTCCAACAACAACAAATTGCATTTATATAGCACCTTTCACAATGGGAGGACGTCCCAAGGCGCTGGACAGTCAAGGGTTTGCACCTGAGCTGAAGTTGGAATCAAGAGGAGTGGAGGACAGGGGGTGGGGATGGGAGGTTGATTGAAGGCACGGTCCAAGAGGAAGGTCTTGAGTGAGCCAGAAAAGGAGCTTGAAAAGAGCTATCCAATTCACTCCCACTCCTCTGCTCTCTCCATAGCCCTACAAACTTGTCCTCTCCAAATAATTATCGACTTCTCTCTTAAAAGCTGTAATCTAATTGGCTTCCACCACCCTTTCAGGCAATGCATTCCAGATTCGAACAACTCGCTGTATGAAAAAATATCTCCTCACCTCCGTTCTTTTTTTAACAACTATTTTAAATTGGTGTCCTTGGGTTACCGACCCACCCACCAGTGGAAACAGTTTCTCCTTGTTCACCCTATTGAATCATCTCATAATTTTGAAAACTTCTATTAAGTCTCCTCTTAACCTTGTCTGCTCCAAGGAGAATAATCCTAGCTTCTCCTGATAACTGAAGTCCCTCATTGCTGGTACCATCCTGGTAAATCTCCTTTACACCTCTCCAATGCCTTGATATCCTTCCTAAAGTGTGGTGCCCAGAACTGAACACAGTGTTTATAAAAGTTCATCATAACTTCCTGACTTTTGTATTCTATGCCCCTATTTATAAAGCCTAGTATCCCGTATACTTTTTTTTAACAGCTTTATCTACCTGTCGTGCCACCTTCAAAGATTTACTTATATGAACCCCCCGGTCTCTCTGTTCCTTCACCCCCTTTAAGATTGTAAAATCAGCTTATATTGCCTCTCCTCATCCTTCCTCCCAAAATGCAGCACTTCACAATTATCCACATTAAACTTCATCTGCCACGTGTCTGCCCATTTTACCAGTCTGTCTATGTCCATTTGCAGTCTGTTACTATCCTCCTCACTGTTTACTACTTTTCCTTAGCATCATCTTCAAACTTGGAAATTGTACTCCCTATCCCCATGTCCAAATCATTTATATAGATCAAAAAGAGTAGTGGTCCCAATACCGACCCCTGAGGGACATTACTGCACACTTCCCTCCAGTCAGAAATTCTAACAACTGTTCACCACAACGTTCTGCTTTCCCAGCCAGTTCTGTATCCATGCTGCCACTGTCCCTTTAATACCGTGAGCTTCCATTTTGCTTACAAGTCTCTTATGTGGCACGTTATCAAATGTCTTTTAAACATCTGCATAAACTACAATAACTGCACTACCTTCATCCACCCTCTCCGTTATTTCATCAAAAAAACTCTTATCAGGTTTGTTAGACATGATTTGCCTTTAACAAATCTGTGTTGGCTGTCCTTTATTAACCCATATGAGACAGACCGAAAAAACGTAGCAATGATCCTTCCATTTCATGTAACATTGTAACATCAAAATAGTTCAGAGGGAATTGATTTAAATTGTAGTGACTGTGTGTTAGTAGGGGAATATTAGCAGCCAATTTCCCATGAAGTGAATG